TTTTTAAACTTAAAATCATATAATAATAAAAATTATAATAAAATGATTTACTTTAATGTTATGTAAAAATGTATAATATGTATTTATTTATAATATTATTGGTAACCCTTTACAATAAGCTTCCATTATTTAACATGAACTAACAATGAAAAATACTTAATCTTATTTAAAGTTTATTTCAACACTTACTAATATATTATTAATATCAAAAGTTGTATCTGTTTATATTATTTAACGGACCTTGAACGAATAAAATGAACAGTTGGATTTTTATTATATAATGTTAACAATGATTAATAAATACTGTAGCAATATATTTGTTACAGTATTTATTAATCATTGTTAACATTATATAACAAAAATAATTTTTCGTTCAAGCTCCATTAAATAATTTTAACAGATACAACTTACTAATAATAACTAATTGGACCTTGTTGTGAAGTGTAACCGGCATATATAATATGATACAATATAAGAAAACCCACAAGCTTCCATGTCATATGACCTTTGAATATCTTTGTGTGCTTTATAATCATGTTTATATTCTTTACTCTCTGCCAGATTATGATTCTCTCCAACACACCTAATAAAAAAAATGCAATATCATGCATTTGATGGCATTTCTTCATGCACTTAAATTTCCTTTATTTTGGATGGGAAAATATGACTGAAATTTAAATAATTGTGATGTGATTAGATCAAACGGTTAATCAACAACAATGACAGGCCTAAATCTGCTTCTGACTGCAGTTTCTGTGTTTACGCACATCTGAGCATCTCTTCTGCTGAAGTGAAACAGGCTTTGTGTGACCGTGATATGAAAATGCTGCTGATTGTTCAGGTTCTGATTGATTCCTCATGTTAGTAAGACTCACCGAAAGCCTCCTTCGACTCGCCCAAGCGCTCCTCATCGGTGGAGTCAATGACGTAGATCACGCCGTGAGACTCTGCGTAGTACTAAAACATGGTAAACATGACATTACAAACAGATTAGTTGCGTTCCTGTCTTCTGTAGTGATTTATATAATGCACTCAAGGAACATTTTCAACGACAGCATCAGGATCAGTTTAGTGAAGGTGTGTCACCTTGTCCCACAAAGACTGTAGTTCTTCTTGTCCTCCAAGATCCCAAAACATCAGACGAGCTTTTCCCACATCGATGGTGCCGACTGAAACAGACAGGAAAAACGAGTAACACTACTGCTATGTTTATATTTGTTTTCTTCAGTTTTACAGCATGTATTACTCACTGTTGAGGCCGACTGTAGTTGTGATCTTCGAGAGGTTCATGCCCTTGTAGTTTTTACTGAATTTTGTTTTTGTTTGCTCCAGAAAGGTCTACAATATTCAAGAAAAGAACACAGATTTGTCTCAAAACGAATGAGCTGTGAACCTAACCTGCACTTTTCAATCAATTTCAATCAATCAGATAAAGCGCTTTACAACAACCAGAGTTGTTGAGACAAAAAGTACAGGACAAAAAATTAAAGAGTGAAATATAAAACAATACAAAAAAATAAATAAAATACAAACACATCGATAAAATAATTTTTGAGCATCTTATTTATTCTAGGAACTAAATAGGCTGCATACTAATACAGAAACAGTGTCAAAACCTAGTGTGCAACCTAACTAGTGAGAATATTAACGTTAGTTTACTGCAGTCGCAAATTCTGCATTATAGGGCATTGTAGTAGTCTTAACATTTGATTAGCACCCTACCTAGACACCACTTTCCAAGTTGCTTACCTAGGTTATTGTGCATCATTAGCCCAAAATGTTACTGAAGCAAAACTGATTTTGTGGAACTGTTTTAGGCGTGAACTATTTACTACTAATCTTACCGTTTTCCCTGCATTGTCCAGGCCGAGGATCAGGACGCAGTACTCGTCCTTTTGGAACACATATTTGTACAGACCCGATAATAAAGTGTACATCCTCGATAACAGACTATTTACCAGCTCACATCACAAACACAGCTAGCTTAGCTTAGCTGCGGCGCTAAGTAAACAACGTAAACAGTCACGAGCTCTAGTGAAGATTACGATAGAGAACACGGTGTTTTTCTTCATATAAATGCAAATATGAATTCAGTGAATCAGATGTAATTAGTGAGACTCTCGTTTGCTGTTTATGTCCATGTTGGCAGCGGTCAGTAATAAACGCTTCCTGGGAAGTTGTTTGCCAATTTTAGTGCATTGTGGGAAATGTAGTTCATCATCTGTTCGGTGGCAAAGACTGAAAGATCGTTTAACTACACTAATATATTTATTTCACCAATATATCCATGACATCCAAAAAAAGCTTGCTGCACTGTGGCACCTTATTATAGTTTCATTTTATACAGAATATAAATCAATCATAAAAGATGATACAGCTGGTTTACACTTTTAAGCACATTAATAAAAGAATAAGCCTCAACCTAAAATCACACACAGAAAGACATAAGACACAAGTGATGGTGTGACGCCCCCTTATGGAGTTTGATTGTCACTGCACTGTGAATGAGTAAACCAAATAAACAAACATAAAAAGACAAACAAAAACAGTGACAAATTAAAAAAAAAATTAAAAAAAATGTGAAAATGTTTACATAAATACGCACTTTGCAGCTTTTTTCTTATTTTTCAAACCCAGTAGGCTATTGTGTTTAGGTATTGTCGAATTTCTGCTCTTAAAATTAAAAACAAAGGCTTGTTTCCTCCAAATTTACATTTATCAGAGACATTTATGAATACTAAATTTAGCTAACAGAAGAAGCAGGTTAATTAAGTAATATTCATTATAATAAGATTTGTCATTAGAGAAAAAAACAAATAACACATTTTTTTTATGTGAAATTAGTAAAATTAATTTTTATAAGTTACATCCAGAGAGGAGCAGGACTGCTTAGATAAATCTACAACAATTCATTTAGATTTTTGCATTGTGACATTTTCATGTATTATTTCACATTTCTTAGAAACTTAAATTAAGGTTAATTTTATAGGCCTATATATGAAATATGAATATGAAAACTCTAAGAAAAGCCTATATGAAGGGATTTTCTGTATTCATTTTTCACAAGTACTTTACCTATATTTTTGAATGACCCATTTAATTTTGCTGTGTTTATTGGTTGAAGGAAATGTCGATAAACTTAACTTAATTTTCTGCCAGAACATGTCTATTTTTCTACAGATTTTTTCTTTATCATGAATATGAGTTGCATATATAAACAAATATAATTTCCTTTTATTCTTTTGGATTTTGGTGTGAAATAAGACCCAGATATCATTATAAAGCATATGAATTTTTATTTAATTTTATTCCCCCAGATCTGGATGTCTCTTAAATCTCACACTTAAGACAGAAACACGGTTTGGACGATGGATTCATGATGGACTCGTTCATTGTATAAAATGTGAAATGAAAATGTGTGTAAAATGTCAGAGCACTTCACACTCTCCTCGATCTGTTTTGAACTTAAAAACTTCCAAAAGCTTTTTCTTTTTAGCTCAGCTTCTCCCTCGACACACACATCCATTAAAAACACGTCCATGAAGAATGAAGTGTTTCTTATAGTGAAGATCACGCATGATTCTCACCGGCTTTCATTTTGCTTTATCAGTTGCATTGCAAGAAATAGACATTTCTATGGCAGAATCTTCTCTTTCACTTGAGTTCAAACCTCTCGACTCTGAGTTCAAGCGCACATTAAACATCATTCCCCGGAGGAAAGAGCCTGGCTTTCTGTGAGACACTCAGCATCCGCTCAGCGCATCTGTGGCTCGACCTCCAGAACCTTCCGGCAATATCAGACATCCACAGCAGAGGCTTCAGTAGTGCCACACTGAGCACCATCATGATATACACACACACACACACACACACACACACACACACACACACACACACACACTCACTCACTCACTCACTCACTCACTCACTCACTCACTCACTCACTCACTCACTCACTCACTCACTCACTCACTCACTCACTCACTCACTCACTCACTCACTCACTCACTCACTCACTCACTCACACACACACACACACACACACACACACACACACACACACACACACACACACACACACACACACACACACACACACACACACACACACACACACACACACACACACTCACTCACACACTCACACACACACTCACTCACTCACTCACAGACTCACTCTCACACACACACACACACACACACACTCTCTCACTCTCCCCCTCTCTCTCACACACACACACACACACACACTCTCTCTCTCACACACACACACACACACACACTCTCTCTCCCCCTCTCTCTCTCTCACACACACACACACACACACACACTCTCTCTTCCCCTCTCTATCTCTCACACACACACACACACACACACACACACACACACACACACACACACACACACACACACACACACACACTCTCTCTCCCCCTCTCTCTCTCTCTCACACACACACACACACACTTATTCACACATTCTCTCTCTCTCTCGCTCCCACACACACACACACACACACACACACACACACACACTCTGTGTAAGTGCATGAGTGTGCAATATTTATGATGCATATTCACACATTAAGAGGCTGCTAATGGAAGAACTACATCAGGCCTACACATACACTACACGTTTCCTCTTGCATTATATTCATGCAATAATAGAGTGAAACTCACAAAAACATGTTCAGGTCACAAAAATCGAACCCGGTTTCATGACCCAAACACCCAAACACCATCTGAGGAGTCAAAACACACTCACACAAGCAGCAAATTACAAAAAAGGACTGGGTGAAATAATACAACCAGGTAGGCTATATCACAAAAAGTATATATCAAATCAAAACAATGTCCATTCAGGCTGATCCAGAATCGGGCCACTGCATAACTAACCAAACTATCAAGCTTGCAAGACACTCTTCTTTTAAACTAAAGCTGTAATGGGATGATTTATATTGTGAATATCCCAATACAAACGCATGCATTCGTGACGCAAGACGTGGACATGAACGACAGCAGCATATGAACAATATGATATACAAAGTTTATTGTACATTTGCCCATGAGCTCATGGATTTGAGTGACTACACGACGACAAATATGCTACATAATCAAAAGCTATATATATTTAGTATGGCATTTAGCGGTTCAGAACATGCCGGCAAGCATTCACTGAGAAGACAAATAAAAGACAACAGCAGCGTTCATCGTTTGTGGAAAACAGCAATTATGGATTTGATCCGAGAACATATGATGATTAAATGACGTTAGCGTAAGCCCAAAACACCATTTCTGTCAATGTGAATCACATTAGTGTCAAAGACAAGAAACGTAAGGCTTGCAGGATATGTGAGATGCGCGGGCCGTTCCTTCTCATTCATGCGCTCTTTCTTCTACAAATAAATGTGTAAGATTCAAAAAAGCAAAACTTTTGCTCCATAATGATCATATTGAGCACTTAAAACAGTCAAATAATAACTTAGCCAGCATTACTTTCATGTATCCTCACACAAGTGTGTGTGTGTGCTGGTCGAGCGTTTCATGCTCGTTCTGGTGAAGCTAGTCGAGATTTGCTGGTAAACTGAATTCAAATAAACCCTGGTGGTCCAGAATCACAAACACCACAGTTATATTCATCTATGGTGACGCTTTACAATAACCCAGCAAACACAAATATGTTCTAAGAATTCTCATTAAGTTATGAAAACATTTAATGTTCAAAATTTCGTTTTTTCTTGGTTATGCGAACGTTAAAGGGGCTATATGTAGAATTCAGAAAGCCTTGTTATTAGCGACACCGGTGGGCATTAAGTGAACTGCGGCCAGCAACTTATTGCTCACGTAACTTACGAGCCTGAACATGATTCAATATAGGGCCTATATATTCAATATACTCACGGTGAAGTTCTTTATCGTTCTTTGCTTAGAAGTAAAAAGTTGTCAGAAAACATCCAGACGCAACGTTTAGATTGACGACAGATGAGCTCATTTAAATTACACTGTTATGATAGTTTGATTATAAAGTATATTTGAGACCATAGATCTGGCTATATGAGAGTATAGTTTGAATTAATCTCTTTTCTTTGCTTGACACATTGACATTACAGTACAGAACAGCTCTTATGGCTATTTTATCCTGAACATTGTATAAGCATTCGTTTGTTTCATGTGTCGTTGAACAGAAGAGAGGCTCTCGGGAGCGTAAACGTTACACCATTTTGATTTCCCGGCAAATCCGGCCTTACTACTGCCCCGTTTACACGAAGGGAAGACGCAGATATTTCCCTGCGGTTTGGCCTCTGATTTACACAAAAACCCCGTTTTTATCACAGAAAACAATTATTTCTAAAAACTCTCCAAAGTGGAGATTTCTGATAACGCTGGTTATGTGTTGCCGTGTCGAGAAACGGAGTTTTAGGTTCTCAAACGTCACATTATGCGCCAGAACATGCTGAACGTCATGTGACTCTCACAGTTATGATGGTGCTCGACGGCGTATTTATGCGGGTTGATGTAAATTGCAACTTTTTTGAAAACAATGTTGTGTGTGCGATGTTATTATTTAAAACGGAGGGGGGGGGGGGGGGGGGGAATAATCGTTTCTCTAAATACCCGGCTATGTGTAAATGTGGCCATAGACAACCTAGGAAGTCGAGGAAGTTCTAATTTTTAACGTTTCGTTACAAGCTGATCACACACTGGCAATAAAAAAGCAATCAATACATGAAAATTCTTACATATAGCCCCTTTAAGTGAACATTCCAATTACATCATTCTTCAAAGATTATGAGAATGTTACTTTTGAACGTTCTGTGAACATTCCGAAACAAGTAACATTTAAAAATGTTAGACAAATGTCCAACTGAAACGTTCCATGAACGATGTATAACTAATGTTTTTATACATAACATTATTAAAGACCAGAAAACTTAGAATTAATGTTGAAATTACCATTAACTAAGATTAATAAATGCTTTAGAAGTATTTATCATTGTTAGTTCATGTTAACAAATGAAACTTTGTTGTAAAGTATTACATGAGTCTCGTAGAAGTTCGTTCATATCTCAGACCTCTGTGAGTTTCTTGTGGTTGTGTTCGTGTGTTTGTGCAGATCTAACATGTGTATCGGGAAGGTTGTGAGTCTGTACAGTGAAAACAAAACAACAGCGTTAAGAAATACATTCACAAGCATTTCAGAACCAAACTGAGCTCAAGTAAACATTTACACACAACTGGAAAAAAACTGACAAGTGTTATAAAAGATACCAAAGGCAATTTAGCAAAATACGCAATATTCTTTGGAAAAACAAATTGAAACCAAGCAAGGCAACTGTGACGATATTCAACTCAAATCACTATTACAGATTCACAGATTGAATGTGCAGAACTCAACTCTCTCTTACAAACGAGTACCGTGGTGTACGAATGAGATTACTCTGGTACTTCTCATCCGATGGCATATTCATACTTTTTTTGTAAGAGATTGTCAGCTTCACATAACTCAACTGAATCAATGACTTGTCTTCCTCAATATGTGTCTGTTAGGCTAGAAGATGTTGCAGCCATGTTTACCACAGTATTCTGACTCCACATCACATATATATTGATTGTAGTTTAAATCCAGGAAGTAATTCTGCAGCTTTTACTTCATTATTTAAGCATTTTGCATTCAGTTCAGGGAGACCGGGGCAAGTTGTCACAGGGCGAAGATGCGTTGAGTCAAAAGTGCAAATACACCAGTTTGTTTTGTTCATTTTATTTTGATAGTATTTCATATGTCAGCTGTTTTTTTGTAACTTATATCGGTAACACTTTAAAATAAGGTTCATTAGTTAACAAATGCATTAACTAACATGAACTAACCATGAGAAATAGGCTACTGTATTTATTAATGTTTGTTAATAAAAATACAGCTGTTCATTGTTAGTTCACAGTGCATTAACTAACAAGATTTAAGAACATAAATCAATGACACTAAAAAATGCATGTTCTGAAGGGATAGCATTAATTATAGCTTGTTTCTAGTTTGTAATTATAATCTGGGACAATAGGAGAAAGTAGCGTCATCCTTATGGGCCACTCACAATGTTGACATTAGCAAAGATTAATAAATGCGCTCTAAAAAATGCTGTGTTGTTTCAACCCAACTTTGGGTCAAATATGGACAAACCCAATGGCTGGGTTACATTTTTAAATTCAATTGAAACATTTTTAAATAAAAAATTTTAACCCAACGTTTGGGTTTGTCCATATTTTACTCAAAATTGTGTTAAAACAACCCAGCGTTTTTTGTATAAGTGCAGTTCATTATTAGTTCATGCTAACTAATGTAGTTAACTAATGTTAACAAACGAATTGTAAAGTGTTACCCTTATATCATATACAGGTGAAACTCGAAAAATTAGAATATGGTGCAAAAGTTCATTTATTTCAGTAATTCAACTTGAAAGGTGAAACTAATATATTATATAGACTCATTACATGCAAAGTGAGATATTTCAAACCTTTATTTGTTATAATTGTGATGATTATGGATTACAGCTTATGAAAACCCCAAATTCGAAATTAGAATATTGTGAAAAGGTTTTCATATCTGTAATCCATAAACATCACAATTTTAACAAATAAAGGCTTGAAATATCTCACTTTGTAATGAGTCTATATAATATATTAGTTTCACCTTTTAAGTTGAATTACTGAAATAAATGAACTTTTACACCATGTTCTAATTTTTTGAGTTTCACCTGTAGTGTGACAACATGCCCCACTATAGATACATTAGAGCAACACCAAAGTCCTGGGGTTGATTCCCAGGGAATGCATGAACTGATCAAATGTAAACATTGCATGCAATGTAAGTCTCTAAGCATCTGCCAAATGTAAAATGTAAATCTATTTTTCCAGGCAACAGCTTTTTTCCTGGTGACTCAACACACCTTGAGAAAAATTCACTGGTGTTGGAAAGTGTGACAACTTGCCCCGGTGTGTCCAGCACAAGCAACAGATGAACAGCATTAAAGGGAGAGACTTTCAGATATCTGAATACAGGAGATGTGGAAGACGAGATGATGTAAACTAAATAACTATCCTCTTTGGAGATGTTCAGTCTGACTTCTACGGGAAACGTACTTTATATCCGGCCGACTGCCCGGTCTCCATACAGACATTTTTGTTCAATATGGTTTCAAGCAATAAAACAAACAATAAAAGGCAACAGAACATCAATTACATCGGAACAAGGCAAAATGATACAGTGCATTTCTCACGTAAAATTAGTGCATTCAATAGTAGTTTTCCCTGTTTCATGAGTGATTCAACTAATTAACAAGAGTTCGTTTACGTTCGACTTCATCTGGCCCTCATGTTTTCAGACGACATGTATTAGAAAATGAAATGTTTATATATATAATGTTGAATGATTGTGAAGCAGACACATTACGTTATTTTACAGGGGTACAGAAATCGTTTATGTACAGTGTTTTTAGAAATTGCTTTGGAAGGTTTAGTGTCTTTAGGAAAAGTTTTTTTTTAGCAGAAAATAGGCTTTTTTTCCATTTAAAGAATTAACTTTAAATATACATTCTTTCTAAATATTCCTAATTTATCAACATGCAAAGTTATTAATCCAGGGTGTATTAAAAAATTGTAAACTTGAGAGAAAGTGATATTTTATATTTCTTATGTACTTGAAGTGAATGTCCTAACCATGGTATTAATTTAGGGAATATTGTGATGGACTTTCAGTGACCTGGTTTGAAATTCACAAGCTGTCGTGAAATACATTCACAATGAACACGGACGACACTTTTCAAAGGGATCCTTCATCCAAAATCTCTCATTATTTACTCCTCGCCCCCATGTTTATCAGCAACTAACAACTTACATTTCACTACACCTTCATAAAACGTCAGAAGGCTTGGAATAAGAGTCAAATAAACCACAAATAATTCCTGTAGCTCAAACAGTTTGATTCAGTTTGGTTCATATGAACTTACACACCTTCTACAATGCAATGCAAGTCGCTCTGGATAAAAGCATCTGCCAAATGCATCCATGTAAATGTACGCTTATGTGTAGTTTTGGCCTTTTTGGAGCTTGACAGATGCTTGTATTTTTCGTTGCACAAAAGCAAACAACTCAAGACACAAGAGTGAGTAAACGATGACAGAACGTTTGGGTTATTTTTAGGTGAACGATCCCTTTAAAGGATTAGTTCACTTCAGAATTAAAATTCCCTGATAATTTACTCTCCTCCACGTCATCCAAGATGTTCATAATGACTTTCTCCAGTGGAAAAGAAATGAAGGTTTTTGAGGAACACACTCCAGGGTTTCTCCATATAGTGACTTCAATGGGGTCCAACGGGTCGAAGGTCCAGATGTGAGTTTCAGTGCAGCTTCAAAGTCTCGACACGATCCAGCCGAGGAATAAGAGTCTGATCTAGACAAACCAGCCGACATTTATAACAAAATACACATTTATATACTTTTAACCACTAATGCTGGTCTTGCACTCGCTGTGATGCGACACACATTACATCATCAGGGTGAAAGGTCAAGCGTGTTCCGGTTCAGAAATCTAAAGTAGGGCGAAAAACAAAAATTTTCTCCTCCAACTTCAAAATCGTCCGACATCGTTGTTTTAACTTTTATTTTATTTTTTGTAAATGGCGTTTGACTCAGTCTTTGCACGTTCGCTCTGTAAACACTGGGTCGGTTCTTACGCCTACGTCCCGCTTGACCTTTCAACCTGATTACGTAATGTGTGTCGCATCACAGCGAGTGCAAGACCAGCATTAGTGGTTTAAAAGTATATGAATGTGTATTTTGTTCTAAATGTCGGCTGGTTTGTCTAGATCAGACTCTTATTCCTCGGCTGGATCGTGTCGAGACTTTGAAGCTGCACTGAAACTCACATCTGGACCTTCGACCCGTTGGACCCCATTGAAGTCACTATATGGAGAAACCCTGGAGTGTGTTCCTCAAAAACCTTCATTTCTTTTCCACTGAAGAATGAAAGACGGTAACATCTTGGATGACACGAGGGTGAGTAAATTAACAGGAAATTTTAATTCTGAAGTGAACTAATCATTTAACTAGTGAGATACAAATCCAGAAAATGTTCTTAAAGATGAAAATGCACCACATGTGAAACGATAAACATGTGTCTTTCCTCCATCCTTACGTCAACCTGATGGATAAGGCTCCGAGAAGTCATTTCCAAGGTTTGCCGTCTCCACCTTTCTTCCTCTCGTGGAGCTGTGCTTGTAAGTGAAACACTGCTTCTTAAACACGCAGGTGCTCACAAATACAGTCTAGCCAACACAATCTCATGAAAGAACGTATCTATAGCACAAATTTTATTTCTCGTGCCATTTATACGCCAAAAATAGTTTTGATACGCACTGGCACTGTAAACACCTTGGGTAGGATTAGGGGTGTGGAGTGAGTCCATAAAGTGCGTATCACATGCACGCAAAAACTATTTTTGGCGAATAAATGGTACGAGAAATAAAATTTGTGCTATAGATACACACTTCATGAGATCGGGCTGGTCTAGCGCTGGTCGTAACGACGTCCCGCGTGGTTTCAAAGTTCTTAAAGATGAAAATGCGCCACATGTGAAACGATAAACACGTGTCTCTCATCCATGCCGACGTTAACCTGATGGATAAGGCTCCCAGAAGTCGTTTCCAGCACTCAAGCTTTTGCCGTCTCCACCTTAAAGATGAAAATACACCACATGTGAAACGATAACTGTTCCGGTGTCTCTCCTCCATCTTTACGTCAACCTGATGGATACGGCATCCAGAAGTCATTTTCTCTTTTCTTCCGCTCGTGGAGTTGTGCTTGTAAGGGAAACTGCTTTTTAAACACGCAGGTTTCCACAAATACAGTCTAACGCTGGTTTGTAAAGACTTTCAGAGTAGTTTCACTTGGGTCCGGTCCAGCCTCGGTCCTCGTAAGCGCCGTCTCCGGTGGCTGAATGAGGCGACGGGACACACAGATCGGAGTCCGTGTCCGACTCGCCCTCCGCGATGTACGGCCTCACTTTAGCGCAGCGCGGCACGCCGCTAAAATAAGCGTTGTTCAGAAAGTCCAGGTTTTCTTTGGACTGCGAGATGCTGAATCCGCTGAAGGAGCGTTCGAGTTCCTCGTGATCCACCGAAGGGATTGATACGGACGTGTCGCTCTCGGCTCCGGCTTGGGAAAGGCGCCCGTCTTCGCGGGAATGATGTGCACGAGATCCTCCGTTGTGTCCGGTGGACGAGCGCTCGTGTGCCGGAGGCGGAGGGATACGCACTAGCGACCCGGGATCGGGGATCGGACCGGGATCAGGGATGGTTTGTGGATGCCGGGACGTGGATGGAGGACAGTGGTGATTGACGCATGTCGAGGTTGGCGGGTCGAAGTTCTTCTGTCCCGCTGAGCTGTTGGACCGGATGATTTTGGTGATGGATCCGCTCTTCTCCATGTGCTCCACCGGACTGTGATACGGAGGCGCCGGGTCGGGCTCCTTAGAGGCGAAGTAGGCGTCCGTCTCGGACTGCGGGATTCCCATGCGCTGGATGTAGATGTTCACCAGGAAATCCAGCTTTCTCTCCATTGACATCACCTGCAGAAGAGGAAGACCTCATTGTCTTATTATGACATTATCGTATGACGCTTTTCCACTGCATGGTACGGCTCGGTACGGTACAGCTCGGCACGGCTCGGCATGACACGGCTCGGCACGGTACGGTTCGGCTCGGCACGGCTCGGTACGGTTCGGCTCGGTACGGTACGGTACGGTTCGGCTCGGTACGGTACGGTTCGGCTCGGTACGGCTCGGCACGGCTCGGTACGGTTCGGCACGGTACGGTACGGTACGGTACGGTTCGGCTCGGTACGGTACGGTTCGGCATGGTACGGCTCGGCTCAGCACGGTTCGGCTTGGCTCGGCCTGACACGGCTCGGTACAGCTCGGCACGGCTTGGTACGGCTCGGCGCGGCTCGGTACGGTTCGGTACGGCTCGGCTCGACACGGCTCGGTACGGTCGGCTTGTACGGTTCGTTACGGCTCGGTAAGCTTTCTCTCCATTGACATCACCTGCAGAAGAGGAAGATATCATTGTCTTATTATGACATTATCTTATGGCGCTTTTCCACTGCATGGTACGGCTCGGTACAGTTCGGCTAGGCGCGGCACGGTTCGGTTCGCTTTTCCACTGAGTGATATGACTGGGTACGGTTCGGCTCGGCTCGGCATGACACGGCACGGCTCGGTATGGCTCGGCACGGCTCGGTACGGTTCTGCTCGGCACGGCTCGGTACAGCTCGGTACAGTTCGGCATGACACGGTTCGGCACGGTACGGTTCGGCTCGGCACGGCTCGGCTCGGCTCGGTACGGTTCGGTTCGGCATGGTACGGCTCGGCTCAGCACGGTTCGGCTTGGCTCGGCCTGACACGGCTCGGTACGGTTCGGCACGGTACGGTACGGCTCGGCACGGCTCGGTACAGCTCGGCACGGCTTGGTACGGCTCGGCGCGGCTCGGTACGGTACGGTTCGGCACGGCTCGACACGGTTCGGTACGGTCGGCTCGTACGGTTCGGCACGGTACGGCTTGGCTCGGCATGACACGGCTCGGTACGGTTCGGCTCGGTATGACACGGCTCGGTACGGTTCGGCTCGGTACGGCTCGGCTCGACACGGCTCGGTATGGTTCGGTACGGTTCGGCTCGGCTCGGCATGACACGGCACGGCTCGGTATGGCTCGGCACGGCTCGGTACGGTTCTGCTCGGCACGGCTCGGTACAGCTCGGTACAGTTCGGCAGGGCTCGGTATGACACGGTTCGGCACGGTACGGTTCGGCTCGGTACGGTTCGGTTCGGCATGGTACGGTTCGGCTCGGCTCGGTACGGTTCGGCTCGGCACGGCTCGGTACGGTTCGGCTCGGTACGGTTCGGTTCGGCATGGTACGGCTCGGCTCAGCACGGTTCGGCACGGTACGGCTCGGCACGGCTCGGTACAGCTCGGCACGGCTTGGTACGGCTCGGCGCGGCTCGGTACGGTACGGTTCGGCTCGGCACGGTTCGGCACGGTTCGGCACGGCTCGGCTCGACACGGTTCGGTACGGTCGGCTCGTACGGTTCGGCACGGTACGGCTTGGCTCGGCTCGACACGGCTCGGTATGGTTCGGTACGGTTCGTACGGTTCGTTACGGTTTGGTTCGGCACGGTACGGCTTGGCTCGGCATGGCACAGATCGGTACGGTTCGGCACGGTACGGTTCGGCTCGGCACGGCACGTTACAGCTCAGCACGGCTTAGTACGGCTCGGCTCGGTACGGTTCGGCTCGGCACGGTACGGCTCGGCATGACACGGCTCGGTACGGTTCGGCTCGGTACGGTTCGGCTCGGTACGGTTCTGTACGGTTCGGCTCGTACGGTTCGTTACGGCTCGGTACGGTTCGGTTCGGCATGACACGGCTCGATACGGTTTGGCACGGCTCGGCATGACACGGCTCGGTACGGTTCGGCTCGGTACGGTTCGGCTCGTATGGTTCGTTACGGCTCGGTACGGTTCGGTTCGGCATGACACGGCTCGATACGGTTCGGCACGGCTCGGCTTGGCTCGGCATGACACGGCTCGGTACGGTTCGGTTCGGCACGGCTCGGTATCGGTACGGTTCGGCACGGTACGGTTCGGCTCGGCACGGCGCGTTACAGCTCAGCACGGCTTGGTACGGCTCGGCGCGGCTCGGTACGGTACGGTTCGGCACGGCTCGGCTCGACACGGTTCGCTACGGTCGGCTCGTACGGTTCGGCACGGTACGGTTCGGCTCGGCACAGCTCGGTACAGCTCGGCACGGCTTGGTACGGTACAGTTCGGTACGGTCGGCTCGTACGGTTCGTTACGGCTTGGTACGGTTCGGTTCGGCACGGTACGGCTTGGCTCGGCATGACACGGCTCGGTACGGTTCGGCTCGGCGCGGTACAGCTCGGCACGGCTTGGTACGGCTCGGTACGGTTCGGCTCGGCACGGTACGGCTCGGCATGACACGGCTCGGTACGGTTCGGCTCGGTACGGCTCGGCTCGACACGGTTCGGTTCGTTACGGCTCGGTACGGTTCGGCATGGCACGGTACGGTTCGGCACGGCACAGCTCAGCACGGCTCGGCTCGGTACGGTTCGGCAGGACACGGCTCGGTACGGTTCGGCACGGTACAGCTCAGCACGGCTTGGTACGGCTCGGCTCGGTACGGTTCGGCTCAGTACGGCTCGGTACGGTTCTGTACGGTTCGGCTCGTGCGGTTCGTTACGGCATGACACGGCTCGATACGGTTCGGCACGACTCGGCTCGGTACGGTTCGGTTCAGCATGGTACGGCTCGGCTCAGCACGGTTCGGCTTGGCTCGGCATGACACGGCTCGGTACGGTTCGGCACGGTACGGTTCGGCACAGCTCGGTACAGCTCGGCACGGCTTGGTACGGCTCGGTACGGTACGGTTCGGCTCGGTACGGCTCGTACGGTTCGTTACGGCATGACACGGCTCGGTACGGTTCGGCTCGGTACGGTACGGCTCGGCACGGCTCGGTACGGTTCGGTTCGGCACGGTACGGCTTGGCTCGGCATGACACGGCTCGGTATGGTTCGGCACGGTACGGTTCGGCACGGTACAGCTCAGCACGGCTTGGTACGGCTCGGCTCGGTACGGTTCGGCACGGTACAGCTCAGCACGGCTCGGTACGGTTCGGCTCGGTACGGCTCGGTACGGTTCTGTACGGTTCGGCTCGTACGGTTCGTTACGGCTCGGTACGGCTTGGCTCGGCATGACACGGCTCGATACGGTTCGGCACGGCTCGGCTCGGTACGGTTCGGCTCAGCTCGGCACGGCTCGACAAGGTTCGGCTCGGTTCGCTTTTCCACTGCAGTTAGTACCGCTTCAAAGTGGGTGGGATTATAGTCTGATCATTATAGATGCGCCGCCTCTACTGCCATGACATCATCGTAAACACACCACATTTCAAACGCACAACACAGGAACAACGGAGCCTATCGAGGGGATGGTGTTCTTGATACTTGAGTCAAGCAAGTAGTTTAAAAAAGGTGCGACAGCGGTGGCTGTTTAAATCTAGCGTGTTTGGTGTCTCGTGTCACAAATACAATGATGAGGTAGTGACGATTCTATCTGACCAATCAGTGATCTGCAGTGTGTTCACGTCACATTTTAGTATCGGTACGGTACGCTTGGAACCTCAACAGAGGTGGTACCATTATAAAAGCGAGCCGTACCGAGCCGTACCGTACCATGCAGTGGAAAAGAGGCATTAATAAAACAAACAAGAGTTTCAGGATCTCAGAGACTTAGGAATCCTAAAAAATGACGCCACTTAATAAGAATCACAAGCTGAAGTGTAAAATACATGAAGACAGTTCTTTTATAGGCTTTATAGACAGACAGATTGAGAGTGACTCTTGAAGGACCAGCACCACATCTTCTTGTAACACTGTTTGAAGAATTCATCTTCAGGAATCTGGCAGTACGTTTTGCGAGTTAATTTTTAGTCCATCTCCTACCATGAAATCCGTGCGGTTTTGTCGTAAAAATATACATATTTAAAACTTTATAAATGAAAATATCTGACTTCCGGCAACGATCGACGCGCGTTCACGGGTGATGGAAGTCGGCGTACGAGGTAGGACGTAGCGTCGTGACGTAGAACGAACGCGCCCGCGCAGCCAGAGAGCAGAGCAAAACATCACCCGTGAACGCGCGTCGATCGTTGCCGGAAGTCAGATATTTTAATTTATAAAGTTTTAAATATGTATATTTTTACGACAAAACCGCACGGATTACCCTCATAAGGCCTTCGTTTATCCCCCTGGAGCCGGATGGATTACTTCTGTGAAGGATATATGCACATTTTGGGACTTGAAGGAGGTGGACCCCATTGCTTCACATTATATCCACTGAAGGGTCTAAGACATTTTCTAAAATAACTGAAAATGTGTTCGTCTGAAACAAGATTGACATATGCATCTCGAACGGCTTGAGGGTGAGTAATGCATGGTTTAAATATCATTTTTGGCCGAACTATCCCTTTACTGAAGTTTATTTTTTATTCCTAGTTAAGCCAACGCTGCCATTGCTAGGACGGGTTGTATCAATTTGGACATGCTTTATATATGTTCTTACTTAATTGCATAATAGAATATTTTAATAAAACTCGTGTGACAATAATATGTCAAATAATTTATCAATTACAAATTATAAGCAATATCTGACAGCTGGTGGTGCGATATAACAATTCGTAGTGTAATGTTTGCCACTTCACTTTATTGCCTCTATGAGTCGCCAACGGACAAAAATCACGACAAATATACAGTACGCCAGACATGAAGTTTACTTGGAGGAACGCACATTCTTACGTTAATTTCACTGTTAGTACATCTGGCCGTGAACGTGAAAGCTGACGTACGCCGTGTTTTTGTGCGTACGCAGTGTTGATACATGAGACTCCAGGTAGGTCGCAGTTCTGGAAAATGGAGGCGCTGGAGACTCAAGGATTCCTGATGGTTTCACTCTTAATTCTTCACCTTAATTCTCAATTCTTTTGCAGTTAACATGAGTCTTTTCTTCTCCACCTGTTTTTGTCTGATCCTGCTGACCCAATGAGAATTTCCCTGTCCAATGGTCATGCCTTAACTGCAATTTCTAATATTGCATCCTTCTCATGGGCATTTAATAATTTTTATTATTTATTATTATTAGTTAAATCTCTTTTTTGGCTTATTTTATCTGTCAAAGAAACCGTGCCTAATAATTATGCACAAGGTGTTTTTCATTTCCAACCTTCATGAACAATTATATATCACTTATAAATGATTAAATACAAAATTTATGGTAGTTATTAAGATTAATGTGGTTTGGAATTGGTCAAATGTGCCTGAAAAAACAAATATGATCAGAAAATCAGTGAGTTGAGTTTTGTGTCCTTTAGTTCATGTCTACATGCTACGCAAAGATTGACCAAAATATTGCTGATTATATTGAATATTCGCAGGAGAATATGGACATTTTTGTCCAATCAAATGCCTCATTCTTTGATTTTATATTACTATAATTAATTTATTTCATTATAATATAAACCCAACATAGTAGCCTTGTGAAGGGTGTCCAACAACCTCTCAATGTTTTAACACACTTTTAAAATTAATCTTCTCTTATGAGACATTATGAATAACCATTTTAAATGTATTCCTTTCCGAACGATCTTTAACTGAGTAATCTCTCTTCTTCTGATGAGCGTTCGCCAAGCTATAATAAGAAAATCTAGGTTGACTGGAAACCCTGATTGGTTCAGTGTAAACGATTGATTGTGATGTACCTGTTTCTCCACTTTCCCGAGTCGTCCCATCATGCTGGGATCCTCCGGCAGTTCTCCATCTGTGGTTCCTTTAGGACGATCCTTGTCTGTTATCGGAGCGCCTCGACCAACAATCTGATCCACTCTAACAATCAATTAAAGAGAGGGAACATTTTGATAATTCATGAGTTTTTCCTGCAAACATCTGTTATAGTGGAAAATATGCGAGACAGTGATTCATTATACATGGACAAAAAACTTTTTTGATATAATCACCAATTATTAAGTACACTAGATTTGTTTGTATTGAGTTTTGTTTTTAAAATGCATCAAACGAACATCTATTTCCATTACATGTTCATTGTTAGTAACCCAAAGTTTTATAACAACAATATTCATATCAAAGAAACAATAAACCATGTATTCTATATTGAAGCACAAAGCATTGTGGGATGTAAATGAATGCATGCAGAGGGAGGGATATGATAATGAGTGGGCGTGTCCACACACAGATAGACAGAGATGATTGGACAGAAAGAGTCAGGCCCTCCAGACAGACGTTTTCTGTTGATATTTGCCATTTTTGAACAATGTGTCAACGTGAAATCACATCTTTAGCTGCGTATTACATGTAGAATGCGAATGTAAGCATCAGTTTGACACATTATCCAAAGTTTCAGATGATATGCTACACTAGCAGGGGTGCGTCTGATCTGAGACACTAGATACGGTTTTCATCAAAGCATCAGAAATATTATATCACGTCCAATATGCTCCAAATAGTCCTTTAAAGAAGCACTGCATGTGGTCAGCAGAACGCTGGGAATCAAGCATGCCCTGCTGAGACCGTATGAAGAAAATTGCACTTGCGAAAGAATAAAAATAGTGCATCATGTGGCATGCCTGAAACAACGCCATGCCGACATGCATTAGCAACAACAGCGATGCTAATTGAAATGAAAACCATTTTTTGGACGTGTGCATCTCCATTTGCTGCCGTAACGCTTCATTTCCAAACAGCGGTGCAGGCAAACTAGCTTAACCAGTTTTAGTTCAGCTACATGACTAGTAACTCACCGAAACGTGACATTTGGTCCCACTGCTTTTCTCTCAACGAAGCAGCGTCTCTTGTGATTAGTTCAGTCACAGCAAACAAAGGTCATGAAGTCGATTAAGAGTGGATTATCAGAAGCTGCCTGGAGCGTTTGGGCCGGTTCAACGCTAATAGACTAGATTATTTAGAGTAAGAGCCAATCTTAGAAGAAAAGGTTCCATTTAGAACATTAAAGGAATCATTTTGTGGAATTAGTTTTAATTAATTAATTTTTAATGAATTAAGCAGCTCGTACAGAAGTGGCCCAAAGTTATGTCCGATCTTCACCCTTAATTAAAATATTATAAAAAATGTTTTCAATATTTTGTAAGCATATTGTATAGTTTAACTTAGAGTCGAATGTTTTATTTGAGGTAATAACGCAATGAAACATGCCAAAATTTTGGCCAGGTTGGCATACAAAGAAATTAGGAATAAATGCTAAAACAAGAGAACCAACGAAATATTAAGAATGCTTTTTCTTGTGAGCTTATTGTTTTTTTTGCATAGTAAAATAAAAATTGTAGCTGTAGTTTGCCTTTTTTTGTGTGCTAAATAATTGTCAGATAAATACCTTAAAGGGGCTATATGTACGAATTTTCATATATTAATTGCTTTTTTATCGCCAATGTGTGAACAGGTTATAAAGAAACTTTAAAAACGAGACCTTCCCCGACTTCATAGGTTGTCTATGAGGAGGGTGTGCATTATTTTTGTAATAATTCAACGCCCTGGAGTCAATTATTGCGCCTATACTACGGTTACCACACCTAAAAACATTGTTCAGATTATGTATTTCAAGAGATTTGTCAGGTTTTTGTCCTTAAACGCTCTTGTGTGTAGGACTAATTTCTTACGCATCTAATCCCACACCTCCGATGCTAATTACAAAACGTAATTTTAGAGCTATTGATAGATAGCAGACTAATGCAGTTATTAGAGAGAGAAAGAGAGAGAGAGAGAGAGAGAGAGAGAGAGAGAGAGATTAAGCTTGTGTGAATTACCTGAGTCTGTGTGTCTCTCATCAGTGTTCAGAAGTCTCTACTAATAGTGAAACTAAGTTTATCTGCTTCAAGAACAGCGCCGTTATTCCATCGCTAGTGAGAAATGTCATGTAGCTTTTAAGTCGCTAATCTATTTTACTGATAAAATCATCAGAGCATGTGTGTGTATGTGTGTGTGTTTGAGCGGGAGAAAGAGAGTTGTGCGTTCTGTACAAAATAAAACGTAATTTAGTGGCAAAAAACATGGCAACAATGTGTCGTTTTTATCCTATTGTTTACTATATTTCTTCGCTCGGTCAGTGTCGTTGTGGTTTTGGTTCTTTTGCTGTTGTTGGCTTTAAAGACCTTTGAAATAACTGAAATAGTTTTTTGCGAATGTGATATGGAACTGTAATGCGGTCAAAACCTGCCTGGAACTACTTTATCCGTGCGTTTCTCTGAAAATAATTGCAGTGTTCACAATAGTTTTCACTAATATTTTGAATTAGTTTTCATTTTCATATTTTCATATTTCGTTTTAATTTAGTTGAATGATTGAGGCATTTGTATAGCGCTTTCATATGTACAACTGTACACCCAAAGCGCTTTACAATCATATCAGAGGATATAGTTAATAAGTAATTTTGTTTTGTGTTTTGCCATTTTTATTAATATTTGTTTTAAATATATTTATATAGTTTTTTAAATTATTATTAAAGGATTAGTTCACCTCAAAATGAAAATTTCCTGATAATTTACTCAACCCAATGCCATCCGAGATGTTCATGTCTTTCTTTCTTCAGTGGAAAAGAAATTAAGTTTTTTGAGGAAAACTTTTCAGAATTTTTCTCCACACAACGGACTTCAACGAAAATCAAATTGTTGAAGTCCAAATCAATGCAGTTTCAAAGGGCTGTGTACGTTCCCAGCTGAGGAACAGGGTCTTATCTAGCCGAACCATCGTCATTTAAAAAACAAAACAAAAAAAGTATACTTTTTATCCACAATTATTCGTCTTGTGCTGGTCTGCGTCTGGAAAGGTCAAGCTGGACGTAGGTGAAAGTACCTTTTTTTTTTTTTTTTTTTTGAAAATGACCGATCGCTTCGCTAGATAAGACCCTAAAAAAATCCTGAAATGTTTTCCTCAAAAAACTTAATTTCTTTTCCACTGATGAAAGAAAGACATGAACATCTTGGATGGCATTGGGGTGAGTTATCATAATTATCAGGAAATTTTCATTTTGAGGTGAACTAATCCTTTAATACACCTCAGAATGTTCATCAACCAATCAGATTCAAGCATTCAACAGCACTGTAGTATAATATAATATTCTGTTGTAATGCAATGCAGTTGTAACGGCGGGCTGCAGTTCACTTAACGGCCACCGGTGTCGCTAATAACAAGGCTTTCTGAATTATACATATAGCCCCTTTAACCACGTTTAGTGTTTTATTCTTCCCTCATACTTTAAAAAAAATATAAAATACATTCCTTGATAGTTTAATCAAAACAAATATCCCCTCCAATAATGGAAAAATAATCTTTTTTTGCTCGTAAATAGAGCCTTTTTTCTCTAAGAGTGGAGTTTGTGGTCCCTGATCACTCAAGCTCAGTGTCTACTAGCCATGTATCTGAAACAGAAGCAGGTTTCTTCATTTGTCTCTGGATAGAGATCTGGCGATGCAGTCTGGGGCGTCCTAACCTAGAAGACAACTGGGGCGACTCTTTGGTTCCTTTGGTTGAACACTTCTTTTGGCGAGGGGTGCTGGGACCCGGAGGACCCGAAGGACCCGGAGGACCCAATATCATATCTAACCTGGCAAACAAATAGAGTAGAGGACAGCACAATGCAGAGTGACGTGAGACGGACGTCAGGACCCTCGACGGGACACGGGGAGAAACACACACCAACAACAACAAGCCCAGAGACTCCCAGAAAACATATTCCAGACATACTTATTATTACGATAAAAAGCGCCCTGATCGATGCATTGATATCAGCGATCAACGTGTGCTGAAAGTATGCCATTAATGTTTTCAAAATATAAAAGCAGGAATATATTTACATATGTGAAATCATCATTCTTTCAGGATTCCCCTAAAACAGTGGTTCTCAATCCTGGTCCTGGGGAGCCACTGCTCTGCACAGTTTGTATGTCTCCCTCATTTAACACACGTGATTCAGATCATCAGCTCGTTAGGAAAGCGCTTTATTAACTGAAGTGGGTGTGTCAGATAAAGGAGACCTATAAAATGTGCAGAGCAGTGGCTCCCTAGGACCAAGATTGAGAACCACTGCCCTAAAATAACATGGATGTGATTGGTGTAAAAAAGAAAGAATTAGCTAAATGTTTTTGCTTTATTGGACTCAGTGTTCACTATAGTTTTCACTAATATTTTGAATTAGTTAAGTTTTAATTTAGTTAGTTTTACCATTTTTTTATGAATATTTTGTTGCCATTTTTTTTGGCATTTTTTTATTTTAATTTTCTTTTAACTGCATTTTCAATTATTTTTGAATAAATTAATAGATTTGGACATAGAAAAATCATTACTGACCCACATATGATGCTCTGATATCTTGATATTATATCTCAATAAATGAAAATGTAGATAATGTTCCTCAAACACACACATTATGCCACTGAAGTGAAGTGTTCGGGTGTTGTATATGTACATATTCTGACAGATATGCAAACAGTGAGAGACATTTAGGAAACTAAGCCATGCAGAACACAGAAGAACAACACTATACGGTGTGTGTGTGTGTGTGTGTGTGTGGAGCGGTCAGTGTGAAGAGTGTTTCTGCTCTTGCCTGGACTGGAGATTTTTAATCCTCGCCAACATGTCGAGATGTCCGGCTGAATATTGCTCTATGACGTCCATCACGTCATACGGACGAAGACTCTCTTTAAACTTGCGCTTGGACACCATGAACCTCATGATGCTGCGGGGACAAACAATTCACACACATTATCACTGTTAAACACTCTGAACACAGAGAAATGGGTGAATCTCAGAGAGCCGGGCCAGAGCCGGTCCAGGGTCATATTTCACAACAAAAACAAAGAAATGAGAGCATATATTTTGCTTTCTAGGACCCATTTGTTGTATTAGTTTTCAGTATTTGGCCATATTTTCTGTTTTATTTTTATTTTAGTTAGTTTTAATAATTTTGTTGTGTGTTATGCCATTTTTGTTATTTTTTGCTAAATAAATCTAGGGTTTTTATTAAAAATCTTATTTCAGTTAAAATAAAAATGAGAAATGTTGCCTTGATTTTCAACGTTATAGTTTTTGTTACTATTCTGAAATAGTTTTTATTTTTATATTTCCTCTTTTAATTAAAGTTTTAATAGTTTTGTTGTGTGTTTTTAAAACATGTCTATATATTTATTTTATTCGTATTTCAGTTTTCTTTTCTTTTTTTTAGTTATTAAATAAAAATGAGTTTAGCTTTGTTTTCCATATTATAGTTTTCACTAAAACTTGATTTCACTTCCTGTTTTCATTTCAATTTTTAGCTTAAGTTTTAATACTTCTGTTTTTTGTTTTGTCATTTTTATTAGATTTTATTATTTATTTTAAACATGTCTATAATTTCAATCATTTTTATTTCAGTTTTAGTCATTTTAGTTTGGGTTAAATAAAAAAACAGAATTTTTTTTCACTATTATAGTTTTTGTTAATATTTTTAATTAGATTTATTTTTATATTTTATGTTTTTATCACTATCATTTAGCTGTTTTTGTTATTTTTATTAGTTTTAACAAAAAATGTCTATAGTTTAATAATTTTATTATTTTATTAAACTGAATAAAAATTAGAAATTGTGCCTCGGTTTTCAATATTATAGATTATAGTTTTCACTAATATTCTCAATTAGTTTTTTTTATATATTTCTTTTTTTCATTTAATAATTTTGTTGTGTGTTTTGGCATTTTAATTTTACTATTTTTATTTCTTAATATGTCTAGCCTATATCATTTTAATTTAGATTTTGACTTTAATGATTTTTTTTAATTTTGACGGGCAATATTCACCAAAATACACCATTTAATAATTTTGTTGTGTGTTTTGTCATTTTAATTTTACTATTATTATTTTTTTTAAATATGTCTATATATCGTGAATTTTTTTATTTTAGTTTCAGTTTAAGTTATTTTAGTTCAAGTCAAACTAAATAAAATTGAGAAATGATGCCTTGGCAACTATCTTAAAATAAATAAGTTTAAGTTTTTATTTATTTATTTCAAATAACTGTTACTTTATGGTTTTAGTCCATATGATTTTTACTATTGATTTTGCAGTAAAATATGACCCGAACATCTGGTTTTCGTGAGATTTAGTCCTGAACCGAGTCCAAGACCCTGCTATATATTTTTCCGTTTGAAACTGACCTTCAATATTCAAAATATCTCATGCATATAAGCGTCGCTGACATGATCTGAGCAATGAAAGTGTGAATGTAACGAAGGATTCAAAAGACTGAATGTAACAAGTTTTGTAACTTACATTCAGGAAAGTCTGAGTTAATGAGGTAATATTATGTGATGCAGACTTCTCTAGTATTATCAATAATATTACACGTCTGATGGAGCATTACGTCCCTTCTGAGTGATGCTGCCTGTCTCATCTTTGCTTACCACACGGCCCTGATGGTAACTTTTAGTCCCGGCGTTAAATCCTGAGGGACAAACTCACAATGGCAGCTCTTATTGTCATCAACAATGTCTTCTCCGGGAAGGCTGGCTTCTAAAAAACACAACACGGACAGGAGGACTCTAGAGTTAGTGCACAAACCCCCTAACCCTGCATTCAACTGCACTGAACCTTAACTCGCTCAGTCCGACACCAGAGAGGTCAGTGCCATGCCATTCATCAGCGGTGAACTGGTGCATTATGGGGGATATAAGAGACAACCGTGGCCCAAAACACACCAATATACAGCCAGTGACCCCGAAACACACCTGGACAAAGAACATCAATGCTTCAGATCATAAAACATCAAATGAAGTGCTATTTCAATTTAAAGATGGTTTTACACTGTTTTGAATTAAGTCTCTTCTGCTCACCAAGGCTGAATTTATTTTATCAAAAATACAGTCATTTAAAAAAAAAAATTAAAATTTAAAATAGCTGTTTTCTAAGTGAATATATAGTAAAGTGTAATTTATTCCTGTGATTAAAGCTGAATTTTCAGCATCATTACTCCAGTCTTCAGTGTCACATGATCCTTCAGAAATCATTCATTCATTATTAATGGTTAATATGTTTGTGGAAACCGTGATACATTCAAACGTTTGGGGTCAGCAATTAGAAATCAATACTTTTATTCAACAAGGATGCATAAATTGATCATAAGTGACAGTAAAGACATTTATAAAGTTACAAAAGATTCTATTTCAAATAAATTCTGTTCTTTTGAACTTTCTATTCATCAAAGAATCCTTAAAAAGAATGTTTCCAGAAAAATAAAAGAACCATTATTAATAACCGAGCAACATAACTGATAATAATTGAGCATCAGATCCTCATATTAGAGTGATTTCTGAAGGATCATGTGACACTGAAGACTGGAGTAATGATGCTGAAAATTCAGCTTTGATCACAGGAATAAATTACACTTTACTTTATATTCACATAGAAAACAGTTATTTTAAATTTGAATAATATTTCACAATTTTTACTGTATTTTATTTAACCAAATACGTACATAAATGCAGCCTTGATGAGCAGAGGAGCTTTCAAAAACATTAAAAATGATTCCAAATAGATGGACAACCAAAATTAGTGTTTGTTGTACGTTAGTGAAATATGTTCATAGTTAATGCGTTAATACACCATTGTCCTGATAAAAATACGCAGAATCAGACACTTGATTTGATATTTTGTCGAATGCAGTGACATTCAGACATGTGTAAGTGTGACTTAAAGTCCAAACACATTGTTGAGGTTTTTGCTAATATAACAAGCAAACAGCAGTAAACTATATCATTTAACTAATATTTCTTCAGACTCATTTTGGATTCAGTGAAAATCCATTTACCGAAGCTGATCAGTCAAAAGACACTATTTATCAAACTGTTAATATGAGTTAATAAAGCGCTGTTAACGGCCACAAAGAAACGGTTTCACTATAGCATTGACTGTTTTCAACCATATACAGATTAAACTTGATTGTAGAGTATTAGTGATATCTCAGTGCTGGACTTCATAACTACATTGAGTTTTCTACAGCAGCCGTTCTCAACTGGTTTTATGGTGTAAGTTGCAACCCAACACAATACCAAACCTATAACCAGTATTAAAGCAACACCAAGTAACTTTTCCTCTGCGGTCGCCCTACAGGTTGGAAGTGGAATTGTCCATTACCGCTGTGGTAAATAATTTAGCCTAGCGCCTCCTACTGTTGCACGCACACTCGCTGTTTATCCAGCGCCGGCTTTGGAGTGAACGATGTGCACAGACAAGGTAGAGAATGTTGCATGATTTCATGAAAGTATGATGTATTGCGACATCAGAAACGAAGAAAAACTAAATAATGACTATTGTAAGGCTTGACGTAAAGCAAGTCAAATTTGTAGTTTTCTTATGTCTCATTAGAACTACAGAAACTCGACCCGATCTGGCAATCTTACATAGCGTGGTTATAGCAGATATAGGATCCAGAAGTGCCTTTCACCCTGTTACGACTTAATGAACCACCGAAACCATTTTGGAAACATTATTTTAAGGTAAAAAATCTTACTTAGTGTTGCTTTAAATGTAATACAGATCATTTTCTTTTACAAAAAACATTTTTGGGTCAAAACCCACCAGTTGAGAACAACTGATGTAGAGTAATTATCACTAACTTGTTTCTTGTCTCCATGCAAAACGCTGATTTCATCTGTGATTTTGGGCCACAGTGTCTTTCTCCTTTGTTCCCATTCATTAGCACAGACCATCTGGATCCGGGCAGGTGCGTAAAAATAAATCTACCTGTGCTTATTATGCCAAATAAACCACAGAGCCTCGAAACAACCGTCCCTCGAGTGAATAATGAAGCGCTGAAATGGGTTTATTGAGGTTGACTAGATGTTCCTCAGCTCTGTGGTGTTTCATTGCATTCAAGGTTCCTCCTCAGGACTAACTAGTTTTCCTCACATGCAGGTAAAAGAGCAAAGTTTGCAGCCATCAACTAGCACTAGTTCTAGGGTTGGTAAAAACGGCTTCAGCTGATTGTGATAATCTCTTACTGATTAACCCTTCGATTGCTGCGATAGAGAGATGGCAATAAAGGCTGGTTACAAAAACACCCACAAAACAAACCTGCTTTAAATCTAGAAACGTCAAGGAACAATGCTCATAATAATGAAAGAAAAAATGCATTTTGATTTTTTTTCTGAAACTAGTAAATTCTCTGAAGGTGAACCAGATTTTAGTTCTTGTTGTGCTGTTATCCAAAGCCTCAATGCTTCAAATAAATCATTCACCGTCAGAGAAATGACACACTCTTTCTTGCATGATGTGAAATGTTCAAGTACTCAAAGAGTGTCAGTGTTTAAATACAATGAAATGACATTCAAGTGAAGGTGCAGATTGAATGCTGCACGCTAACAAGACATCAGGACATTCTCACAATCACATGATTTCACTTACTTTTTGATATATGTGTGAACAACATCAGGTATGAATGCTATTCTAAATATTGCTATACATTCAAATATATGCTAACCATCTGATCAATTTATTGATGACAGCAAGACCTTTACAAGTACAGCATGACTAGTTGCAATTGCTAGAAGCTTATAAAAACAACTAAAATGATAAACATATAAATGTTACTATTAAAGAAACTCATCACTGATAAAAGAACATTAATGAAGCATGTATAAAATATATTTGAACATGAAATACAGAAGTTGTTTAGTTGCATCACAGAAAATCATAAATCCACATTGGAGCTCAGTGTAAACAACATGTGCAATGTGAACTAGTGTTTCTGTAATCTCATGTGCTTTGATTGGATTTTAATGTAACTTACCTTCAATTTTAATTATTGCTTTAAATCTGTTACTGGTAATATGGCAAAATTGTAGCCAGAACCCAATAATCTTGTATACTGTATATTCATGTTTTAGGACATTGAATATATTTCACAAGCTATGGGACTTTAGTAACAGAATTATTGACCATTAGTGGCGCCTATATAGTTCATATATACACTCACCTAAAGGATTATTAGGAACACCTGTTCAATTTCCCATTAATGTAATTATCTAATCAACCAATCGAATGGCAGTTGCTTCAATGCATTTAGGGGTGTGGTCCTGGTCAAGACAATCTCCTGAACTCCAAACTGAATGTCAGAATGGGAAAGAAAGGTGATTTAAGCAATTTTGAGCGTGGCATGGTTGTTGGTGCCAGACGGGCCGGTCTGAGTATTTCACAATCTGCTCAGTTACTGGGATTTTCACGCACAACCATTTCTAGGGTTGTTGCCTTGTTGATGCTAGAGGTCAGTGGAGAATGGGCCGACTGATTCAAGCTGATTTACAACCGAGGTATGCAGCAAAGCATTTGTGAAGCCACAACACGCACAACCATCATGCCTTGTACCACTGTGCAGGCTGGTGGTGGTGGTGTAATGGTGTGGGGGATGTTTTCTTGGCACACTTTAGGCCCCTTAGTGCCAATTGGGCATCGTTTAAATGCCACGGCCTACCTGAGCATTGTTTCTGACCATGTCCATCCCTTTATGGCCACCATGTACCCATCCTCTGATGGCTACTTCCAGCAGGATAATGCACCATGTCACAAAGCTCGAATCATTTCAAATTGGTTTCTTGAACATGACAATGAGTTCACTGTACTAAAATGGCCCCCACAGTCACCAGATCTCAACCCAATAGAGCATCTTTGGGATGTGGTGGAACGGGAGCTTCGTGCCCTGGATGTGCATCCCACAAATCTCCATCAACTGCAAGATGCTATCCTATCGATATGGGCCAACATTTCTAAAGAATGCTTTCAGCACCTTGTTGAATCAATGCCACGTAGAATTAAGGCAGTTCTGAAGGCGAAAGGGGGTCAAACACAGTATGAGTATGGTGTTCCTAATAATCCTTTAGGTGAGTGTATATAAAATATATATAAAAAAATGGCAAAATAATTAACAAACTAATAAAAAAAGATTTAATCTTATAGAGAGCAAAAACAATAAAAAAAAACCATCATGCTAATTCTTTTCAAAGCAATGTGAACATGCAAACATTAATAACACATCAGATTCCCAACGAATACTTTTGGAAAATATAGTTCAAAATCAAAGAGAAAGCACAATGGACAGTCCAGCATTTAAAGCAGAAAAAATTTCACACACTGGCATATCCTCAGACCTCTGTGATGAACTCAATACACCAGTGGTAATGATCTGGATCCAAACAAATCACATTTTAATCAGTTTCCTCTATTAACGAGCTGTGGGGATATGAAGCTCACTATGGTAGCGCCCTCTAGGGGGATTTTCATGAAATTTGGTGCATGTCTTCAGATTGTCCAGGCGTTCTTGTGCACCAAAATTTGTTAAGTTTGCACACTGAGTTTACGTGAAACAGACTTATTAGTCAATGTGGACTACACATGAAAATTCTATTGAAAATTTAATCTGCAAAACAAAAGATAATTAAAAATTCCCTGAATAACTTTTTGGTAAGAAATGTCTAATGTGAATCAGAAAAAATGTCTGTATGTTGAGGTTGAAAAATTAGGTATTTTTTCAATCGAAAATGTCACATAACCCCATATGGTCACATACGGTTGAGTTATATAGAATATTTGCTTATTACAGCATCACGTAATGGTTGAGTTACACTGAATTTGGTACAGTGCCTCTTAAAGAAGAATATACACATACTGTATGTCTAAACTTCATGAAGATCAGACAATCATATTTGAGATAACCGGCCGCTGAATGTTTTGGTGGCCATTTTAGCAGATTTGTGATGACAGCTTAATCCTTAAATGGAGGTACATTTCAAGGGTTAGTTCACCCAAAATTTGTAATTCTGTCTACTTTCAAACCTGAACAAAAAAAAGATATTTTGAAGAAAATGGGTAACTAAACAGTTGATGGACCCGATTGACTTCCATATGGGGGAAAAAATACTGGGTCCCATCAACTGTAGTTCACCCAAAACTACAGGGTGAGTAATTGATGACAGAGTTTTAAGGAGTTTCAACAATATTATTTATGATGTGAATGCTGTGAAATACTATATACAGAGTATCTGAAGTTCACATTTGAGTCTCTTTAAATTCATCCCAGCGGTCCTGAGAGATATGCAGTCAAACACTCTAAAAAATGCAGAGTTGTTTCAACCCAATTTTGGGTCAAATATGGACAAACCCAAACGTTGGATTAAAAATGCAATTAAAAAATGTAACCCAACGGCTGGGTTTGTCCATATTTTAACCAAACTTGGGTTAAAACAACCCAGCATTTTTCAGAGTGAATAAGAATGGAAAATTTGATAGAATGTAGCTTTAAATAGGTAAAAAGAAAAGAAAAGAAAAATGCCATGCTCACGTTTGAACCCTCCTTTGAATGACACCCAATTAAAGCACATGAGGAATTAAACTGGACTAGTGAAATCACAAGTTAATATTCAGAACAACAGCATGATTGTGTAATTCTGCTTAACTAATGTCAAATAATTCAATACAATTATATTTTTTATAGCCCAAACTAAATTTAAAGCATGGTAGCTGTAGCTGGTTTAGTTTGATTGAATATAAGAGCTCGACCCATCTGGGTCGCCTGACCTGGAGAGTTCCTGTGTCTCAAATCTTCCTCTTGCATCTCAATGAGCACTTTACCATCAGCATCCAACATAGAAACGGAAAGGACAGCATCAGGATCCACATTCATCAGAAAAAATGAGGGGAAAATCATAAACGCACACATGGATTACAAAGGTCGTCCTTTCCACAAGCTGCTGCTGTCCAAGTGATCCTGTCACATGTTCTCATCAGGTTTCAAATCAATCATCTGAAATTGTACATTCTTAAATCAAATGTCCACTTGAAACGAATCATTGAATTTGCACTTTGTGGAAAGTGTAACCAAAGCAGAGACTTTTTCATAAATTATATTTCAATATATACAAACACAGTCTAACGATTCAAGCCAAACGTTATGATTGGTATGTAAAATAATATATATTTATGCCATGAAATCATAAACTGTATTCATACCAATCATAAAACTAGTTATCTTAAATATTAATAAATGATTACACATATTAGCCAATAAAATAATTCGCTTAAAAAATGTTTGATTAACAGTTTCTCCTCAAAAAACATTGGCATCAAATGCAACACTCGACTCTATTATAAAAGATAAACTAAACTTGATATGCACAAATAACACCGGCAGAAAGAAATGAACACTGATCACAATACTGAACTCACATGCAATGGCACAACAGAAAGACAGAATAAGATCCTGATGTGTGGAACTAGTAGATTCGATCTGGATAATGTAGTTTCTGTCTTCACACTTTCTGAGGATTCTTCTAAAAATCTCAATTCAACTTATTCAAGCATAATAAAGTCCCTTTGTATTTTGGGCATCCAAGAGCACGTCCAATCTACTTCTGGGAATCTGCTCGTCACACTCACAATTAACTCTTTCACCGCCAGCATAAAAAAATAAAAAATTGCCAGCGCTTTTTTTTATCATTTACACAATAATTTCATGGCCCCCACAATATTTTGTTGTATGAATATCTGAACATGCAATATATCAAAAGAAAGATCAGAGCCTCTGCTTTTTGTATGCATTCTTGAGAACACTTGAAAGTGGGTAGGTTTTATACAAAAAGCGGAGAACATCAAATTATTTTTAAAAACATTTATATGCAATACTTTACCGTTTGTTTCTACTCCTTTTTTTGCCTGTTTTTGATCAGGAGATTATGTACGGTACTCTTTCAGAAGATGTTTAATAGCGCCCCCTACCGTATAACAGTGAAAACACAGAAAGCCGCAAAATTACATAAATGGCGGGGAAAGAGTTAAATTACATATTTCAAATATAACTGGCCCATAAATGTTGTTTCTAATGCTCAAATAGTGTTAAAAAAGCTTATATTTCATGGCACCCGGAGCTTCTGACGACAGCTGCAGTGACACGATGACTTTACCATTTGCCGATTGGTTCTTTTATTTAGAAGGCGGGACTAATTCCGCCATATTGCGCTCTGCACTTTCTCCCATTCATAAGTAATGTGTTTGTATATCTAAAGTCTTTGATGCCTATCCAGTTTAAAAAGACCTCAAACACAAGACAGGGCACTAGTTTTTAATTCTCTGACCTTTTATCCAATGCAACTTCAAGCACACAAACTACGATTGCGCTTCACAACTGTCCCTTGTGATGTGATGACTGTCAAATGAAGCGGGATAGACCTATACGAACATATATACGAGTTCTCCTTCACTGATTAACACCTACAACAACCAAACCATGACTAAAGCGTACAGATGCAGAAGTGCACAGCAACGGGTCGGTTTGCCTCACCTTCTGAGTTCTGGCGGGACGCGGCCCCTTTAAAGCGGAAGGCTTGCCTGGCCCGACTGGACTGGCCGAAGCTGAGGCTCTTGGGAACTTTGGACGGGCTGTCCTCGATGCTGTTCGCACTGGGAGAGCGTCGGAGCGACTGCTGGCCCTGAGGAGAGTTCTTCCCTTTACTTGCAGAGTTCCTCGGGCTGGAGAACACGCGCTCCTTCAGGCTCACTTTCTGACTGTCAAGGGTACAAGCGTTTAAAAGGTATGTATCCAAAAATAATGGATGCAAAGTTATGAACAAACATTCTTCCTGTGACATTAATAGAACGTTTGTTGAAATGTACGTGGTCTTCAACACTCTAAAAAATGCTGGGTTATTTCAACCCAAATTTGGGTCAAATATGGACAAACCTAAATGTTGGGTTAAAAATGTAATTAAAAAATGTACAGTTGAAAGTGAAAGTTGAAGTTGGGTTAAAATTTTAAATGACATTTTTAACCCAACATTTGGGTTTGTCCATATTTTACCCAATTTTGGATTAAAACAACCCAGCATTGTTTAGAATGTTCTCAAAATGTTGTTTTATACATCATTCATGGAACGGTTTTCTGAAACAATTTAGTTGGACGTTAGTCTAATGTTTTTTAAACTACTTTTTTCAGATAGTTCAGAGTACATTCAAAAGTAAGGTTCCCATAATACTTGCAAAATGAGAAAGTAGCGAAAACATTTCTTTAATGTTTTCTCCAACGTTCGTTTTTAGATCATTTAAAAAAAATGGTCTTTTAAGACATTCAGAAATAACTTGTTCTGTTCATAACGTAAAAGGGAACGTTAGCAAATATTCTTAGGACATATGTTTATTAGATGGGTTTCCACTTACATATTCTGATGTTGATTGATATTTTTATGATTGCAGGGCTATGTTTATTTGATCAAATTTCCTGAATATATCTGAAAAAGGTTGTAAAACACGTGTAATTGACTAATTTTGCATTGCATCACCACTTTGAGCGTGCATTACATTTGTATCAATTCAACAGCATGTCTTTTGCTCACATTCAAAAAATGAATACATTTACACTCAAAAAATATTTAGATTTGAGATTTATGCATTTGAAATGCATATAAAATTCCCATTCGTTTAGACTATACAGTTTTAACATAAACAAACTAATAAACTTGATGCATATTCAGGTCAGATTTCTGCACTAAAAAAGCATTGCACATTTTATTATTAACTATTTGCATATGATTTTGTTTAAATGATCATATTTTCAAACTCATTTATTCAGATAGAATCAGCATAAATGTGTTCAGTTAAAAAGTATGAAGATGTATAAGTTCAGTTAAAATGTATGAGATTAAAACAAATTGGATTTATTGATGATAAATATATAAACCACACAATATAAAACACAATCAGTGTATTAGTACTGTTACAGAAATCTGACCGGTTTCATTTATGAATGACTGACAAAAATGCATCACATTTTGTTTTTACGTTAAAACTGTAATCCAAACTTTATATGCAATTCAAATGCATAATAAATGCATAAAATAAATCGTAATTTAGGCCTAAATATTTTTTGAGTGTATGATAATTGAATGGAAAGTTGTAATTTAGCGTCATGTACTTTGTATAAAATTATTACTAATAAAGTACAATCAAACAGTTGTTCATATTCTTATCTGAATAATCTGGATTGCATGTTTGTTAATGAAGGTTATTATGAAGTGGAGGAGCAGGAGTTGAATTGTGGGCGGATATATTGATGTGCATTTGGCTTATTAAACGCTACACATCTGTCTGCACACAAACAAGGTCACACTAATATACACATACACACGCAAACAATGTGTTCATTGATGTGGACGTGCATCGCTGGACTGGTAAAATATTTACACACAAACAACATCTCTAAAACACATCCTGTGCTGACAGACCTGATGACACTGACACTGACATGATGCATGCAAAGGAAAGCATTAAATATAAATTAATATTAGAAGAAACACTGTTTTGTGGTGTCTGAGAAATATGATTTTCACTCACCTCGGAGAGGCTTCGGCTTCCTTCCTGCGTTGGAACACAAAATCATACTTTAACAAACTGAACACATGTTGCCTTTTTGAACTATATCCTTAATAAATATTAGGGGGATCATGACATGTTTTTTTTAAACTTATAGGTGAAACTCGAAATATTTGAATATGGTGCAAAAGTTCATTTATTTCAGTAATTCAACTTAAAAGGTGAAACTAATATATTATATAGACTCATTACATGCAAAGTGAGATATTTCAAGCCTTTATTTGTTATAATTTTGATGATTATGGCTTACACCTATGAAAACCTTTTCACAATATTCTAATTTTGAATTTGGGGTTTTCATAAGCTGTAAGCCATAATCATCACAATTACAACAAATAAAGGCTTGAAATATCTCACTTTGCACGTAATGAGTCTCTATAATATGAATTACTGAAATAAATGAACTTTTGCACACTATTCAAATTTTTTGAGTTTCACCTGTATTTTAATATGTGACTTGGACCACAAAACCAGTAACATGGGTCAATTTTTTGAAATTGAGATTTATACATAATCCGAAAGCTGAATAAATAAGCTTTCCATTGATGTATGGTTTGTTAGGATATAGGATAATATTTGGCCAATATACAACTATTTGAAATCTTGAATCTGAGGGTGCAATGGAAACATTGAGAAAATCGCCTTTAAAGTTGTGCATTTATGTTTGCGATTGTGCTGCATTTACTCACTAAAATAAATATTTTATATATTTACAGTAGGAAATGTACTAAATATCTTCATGGAACATGATCTTTACTTAATATCCTAATGATTTTTGGCATAAAAGAAAAATCGATAATTTTGACCCATACAATATATTGTTGGCTTTTACACAAATAAACCCGTGCGACTCGTGACTGCTTTTGTGATCCAGGGTCACATAATTATATTCCTTGAGTAATATGACATATTGTGTGACGTCACAGATCCAAGCTGTTTTTGGAGCTTGATTAAATAAATGCTTTGTTTATAAAGAGCAGGACGGTTTTAGCTCTGAAACGTGCATGTTTTAATGGTATAAAGACCTCTTATATGTCAAATTTGATTTCTCGTGTCATGACCCCTTTAATATGTATTAATTTAGCTTGAGACGCCACAAATCAATTCATTAACACATAAACACATTATTTACCTGAGAGAAGCAAAAATAAAAGTGCATTTTAAAAACCTGGCGTTTTGCGTTACCTAAAGGAGAGGCCGGATTTGCTCTTGAGGTTTCTCAGGAGGTCGAGCTGGTTCAGGGGAGGGATGAGTCTGGAAAAACACACAGGAGCTGTTGGCACACACACAATGTGTGAAGAGGAAATGCTGCGCAATGCTTATGTAAACCTGGAAGCTTCTTTGGACAGATGAATCGACAGAAAACTAACAAGGTTATTAATAAATATAGCCGACTGCTGACTGTGAACTTAAATTAAAGAGGGACAGAGAGAGAAATGCACATGAATATCACGGCTAGAATGCATTGTGATGATACGCTTCAATGAGTTTTTAACAAAAAACACTCCTGGTTCTCACATGAATACAAGGACTAATACTAATAATAATGCCTGACATAAACGCCACTAATTAGAGATTCAATTGCAAAGTAATTTTTTTTCTATTTTGTTATGCTCACCAAAAATACAGTAAAATTGTTAAATAATATTACAATTTAAAATAAGGGTTTTCTATGTGAATATATAGTAAAGTGTAATTTATTCCTGTGATCAAAGCTGAATTTTCAGCATCATTACTCCAGTCTTCAGTGTCACATGATCCTTCAGAAATCACTCTAATATGAGGATCTGATGCTCAAGAAACATTTATGATTATTATCAAATCAATTTTAAGGATCCTTGATTAATAGAAAGTTCAAAAGAACATTTGAAACATTTTGTAACTTTCGAAATTCTATTTTTGATCAAATCAATGAATAAAGGTATACATTAAATTAGAAGTTATTTTTAACGGTAGTGTATGTCAAACAAAATTATATTTCTTAAACTCCACTGCATTGAGCGATCAGTGCAATAGATGCTTCATATCTATTAATAACAGTTTATTTATTATTAATGCATGTGTGTAGAAGCTTTGGCATCTACACACTCTCTTATGACTCAAAAGCAGCATTAGCATATGCAACACATCACATATGTCATGCATACCGCCTGCTGATTAGACATTTGATATCAAAGCATGACATATGATGTATAAAATATGCCATCCGCAGGTATAGATGAAGAGTGTGTGGATAACACTGTTAACCTTCACTCTCTGCACAACACAACCTGAAGGTCAGTGAGCAGATCGATGTCGAGACGTCTGAAGAGATCTCATCTGACGGCCCAGAGGAATGCTGGGATGGAGAGCGCGTCAGATGGAGGATGGGAGTGTGTGAAGAGGTGTGTGTGTGTGTACCTGTACATGGGCACCGAT